GAAAAAATGAAGATTAAGTATATAATAATAATAATGTGCTTAGGCCAGTGCATGGCATGTAATAGGCCGTCCCACTCTTCCTCACTTACTTCCCTCTCTCTTAGCCAAAGAGATCTCTTCCTTTTTGTAGCATGCTTCTTTAGTTCCCTCTTCTGTTCTGAACTTCCCGGTGACCCTACATTGAACACAGATTTTGCTTTGTCCTTCAGGCTCACTTCTTGAGTGAATCCTCCCAAACCCACCCAGCAGGTACAGCTATCACCCCTGAAGTCCCTTTATGATTCCTTAAAGACAACTCTAGCCTTCCCTGTCTCTCTGTTTTCAGTCCAAGAGCCTCCCTCTTCAGGATAGGGGAAGGAAGGCTGTTATCAACTCGCTTAGCCTAAATGCTGCCCTGGTAGGGCAGACAGAAAGATTGAATTTGCCAGAGAAATGATAACCTGAGACCCCTGCCTTCCTTCACCAGTCAGGCTGCTCTCTGCCTCACGGGCATGGTTTCTGTCTTTCTCAGGTCCTTGTACAGGCCATCAAGGAGGCAAAGGAGCAGCACCCAGACATGTCAGTGACCAAGGTGGTCGTCCATCAGGAGACTGAAATCTCTGAGGAATGAGCTCAGGTAAGGGCTATTCTCGGTGGGGGGAGGGTGTTCACTGTCCCAGCCTGAGAGATCCCTGAACAGGAACAGTGCCCAGAGGTGTCCACGCTGGGACTTATCTCAGTGAAGGCTCTCTGCTGTTACAGGTATCTCTTGAGTCCAAACCTGAGAGGGCCAGAGGAGAACAAAACCAAGAAAAGCAGAACCTAGTGGTCTAGAAATGGGGGCTTGGGGCATAGAGGAGAGAGGGCTGAAGCTCGGAGGCCAGACTCAAGAATTGGAAGCAGGTAGCTGCTTTTGGAGAGCCAGGAATCCAGATAAATTTACGCCTAGAAGTAGTTTACAAGTGACTCAAGCCATCAATCACCAGGGGGGACTGGGGTCCTCAGTAAAACTGCTCAGGGCCTGCTTGGCACCTGGGACCACAAGAACTTGGCACTGGGACTGGGTGGCTGTCTCCCTTTACAGGATTTAAAAAGTTTGCTTTCTTTCCTCTTAGGAAATATCCTACCCCAACTCCCTGCCTGTCTCCCACCCAAGAGAAAACCAGCAAAATGATAAAAGAAGCTTACCTGCAATAGTCAAGACATCAGGCTTTCACAATTACTCTAAACCACCAGAAAATTAATTTCGTTTTCTATTTGGAGTTTATACTGAGAGAGTCTTCTAGACATTGCTGATTCTTTTAATACCTTTTTCTATATTGTGATACCAGAAATTGTTCAACTTTTCACTCTCTGGACTGTTTTTAAAGAGCTTTTTGTTTTTTTATGCGGTGGTTTGTAACCCCTTCAACCTAGCCTCTCCCCATTTATTTCCAACCCAGATACTGACAGGTCTACGGAATTCTTGAGGAAATCCTCCAGAGACTCTGTCAGCTGTGTTGGGGGCCAAAGCCAGCTTAATGGGGCGTCCCTGCTCCTCCCCTAGTTTTATACCCTTTCGATGTCAGCAGAAACTTCATGAACCAGCCTTTCTCAGAGCCAATGATGTGACTTTACCATGTGAGGCAGGGCTCCTGTCCTGATCCGCAGACCCCAGGGAGACATCCCTGTCCTTCTGTTGAGGGTGGTTTTGGTGAGGCAGAGATCTCTGCTAAGAATGTAGTATTGTTTTTCCTTCTTTCTTCCTGTTCATTGTTTTTGGAGCTTCTTTAGATCAAAGACGTGAGAAGTTGTTTCAGATGTATCTGATACTGTGAATGTTTGAACAAATCTGTGGCCTTCACCTTCCTGCCCTCCTTCCCCTTTTACCTCATCAGAAGCAGTGGCTCTGCTAAGTTCTCCCCCCACTTCCCATCTCAGGAGACCAAAACTCACACAAAAATAGGCACTTTTGGCCAAAAACTCTAATGGCACATTTTTACTAGTGATTTGGGCAAGGAAAGTTGATGAAGTTTAAAAAAAAAAAGAGGTTTTCTAGTTCTGGGAATGTGCACTTCACACAGGGTAATGGCTGAGTTTACCTCAGTCAGATCCCGCTAAAAAGTATTTCCAGGTGACCGACCCTGGGCCTTTTCCTTTAATCGTGGGATGACCGGAAATGTGACTCGGAGAGGAGATTGTGTTCCTTGACCTTTCTTCTCCTGACCAGTACCTGCCTGCAGACACCCTTCTGGAGCAAAAGAATTGACTTTTAGGGGCCATCCTTCCCACAAAACCCCATGTGACAGGGAGCACAAACACCAGCTCTGCTCATTCCCACTCACCATCTGAGGTCTGTCGGGTGTTGTAGGCTTGATTTTTGTGGTGGGTTGTGGGTTTATTTTACTTCTAATTTTTTTTTTTTTTTTGCTTGGTTTTGAAAATGGGACTGACTGATGAGCCCAATTCCACCATTCCTGGTAGATCTGGGGGCATTTTTATTCAGTAGTGCTTCTCTAATCTTCCAGCTGGCTTCCCACAAACACATCTGCCTGGAAGTTCTTAGAATCGTATGGTGGGACAGAGGTGGACTTCATGAGAATAGACGGCGGGTCACATTCAGCAGTCTCTGGGGGCTCAAGAGCCGTGAGCGAAAGAGAAAAGTCTAAAACCTCTGCTCCCCACAGTGGGAGCCAGCCGCATGTGTCCAAAGACTGGCTGAGTCTTGTTTTAGACAAACTCAGTTGGTTTGAACTGATTTCAGATGTGTGCATTTTGTGCATTTTTCGTTTAGTACTTCTGTGAGCCTGCTACTAACCACGAGGCAGCTGTCTCTGGAGAGGGACAGGAAGAGCTCAGGTGGGACGCGTGACAGGCCTGGCGGAAAGGATCATCCTGTCTCAGGAGGAGACTTCCGGCCTGTGCGCATAGGGTCGGAAATGGTGGGGCTTGCTTGTTGGTGCCAAGCCTGGGCCGTGCTGCCAGGAGTGGTGGTGAGGTTGGGAATCCAGCTCACATCAAACAGCGTGTGACGGGAGCTCGCTTTCCAGCGGCCAGTTGTCCTGCTGAAAGAGCTACCAGCTTCCAAAGCGGACAGCTGTGGAATGAAGAGGGTGGGGGTGAGGAAGCGGGCCCAGCGTGAGCGTCACAAACCGGGCCCACTGAGTTCTTGCTGTCCACACCGCTGACGGGGGCCTGCACGCCCCCTCGGCTCTGTCACCAGCTCACCGTGCTTGTCTCTGCTTCCTTCACTCTAAGTTGGGCCAGAAGATCTCAAATGCCCTTCCAGCGCTGAGAAGCCACAGATTTGGACAAGCTAGGAAGAGGGTGTCCTTCCAAGACTCTTCCCCTGTCCTCCCGCTCTGGGAACAGATGTGGGGGTTTGACAACTGTTCGGATTTTTTTTTCTTCCTGCAGTTGTGTGTGCATTTGTGTGTGTGTGTGTGAGAAGAAAAACAGATTCTGTCCAGGTGGAAATGGTGAAGAGGGAAGGAGAAAGCTTCATTTCCAGGGTCAGAGACTTGGCAGCCGTTTTCCTGAAGTGACTCAGACACACCACAGTGACAACTCTCACTGCAATTTTATTTTTATTTCACTTGAGAAGACTTCCTCCAAGCCACAAGAGGTCTCTGCCACCCACCCACCCGCCCGCCCACCCGCCAAGCAGGACCTAAAAAGCCAAGGGCCCACAGAACCTGGGTGCAGGGACCTCTTGGAGCCTCCGCGCCCGCCTGCCCAGGCCCACCCATCGCATGTTCTGCAGGCAGCTGAGGGGGAGGGGCCCCAGCCGCCCTGGGAAGTAGAACCAGAGCTAAGGCCTGACCGACACCAAGGAATGCTCCTGGGAAAGATCTGCCCAGGATCTCAGCCCCAGGCTGGTGGTTTTTACAAATCTTTCTGAAATGTATTATTTTGGTGACAAAAATGAAGGAGCTTTGTAAATTTTTTTAAAATTATGAATCATGTCAAGTAGTTGTTTACATTTCTTGACAAAATAGGAACTATGGCAGCAGAATCAAATTGGCAAGATCCTTAGATTAAAAAGGCAATAATTAGGTCCGCTGTTTTGGCCTTTTGTAGTAAGAGAAGTGGTGTAGTGTTTAGATACGTGTTTGGTCTTGCTTCTTGTATTGCATTTTTCAATAAACTAAAAAAAAAACAAAAACAGGACTGAATGTGAATTGATCAACTTTTAAAGTTCTCTTCTCCTACGAGCAGTCTGGGAAAAGTTCCACATGGGTAAGGGAGACTCAAAATTTTGACCCTAGAAAAGACCCTTTTCTAAATTAAGCTACCCACATTGGCCAAAGTGCAGCTTCAACGCTGTATAAAAGGAGAACTGGCAGATGCTTTTTGCCAGTTGGGGGAGATTTTGCAGCACAGGCCATGACGAAGGAGAGAAGGGGGCTTCTCAGACCTGTTCAGGGAGGGGCCAGACCCTCCGGAGGAAGGCTTTGGCAGTAGTGTAGCCCTAGGGGGTGTACCCTGCATGGCTGAGGGGAGGGAGGGGCTGAGGTGGTGGGAGTTAACGCCTCAGCCCCCATCCCAGATGGCAGTGGAGGGTCTCAACTCTACCCCATTGCCCATCTCCCCTAACCCCACAACCGGTACTACCGTGGAGGGAGCCTGGCCCAGCCTGTAACATCCCAACCAACCTACCTTCCAAGTCTTAGGGGTCCTTGCCCACCACTTTGGATCTGCTGAGACACCTGCTGTATCTCCCAATCACCCTGACCTGGACCTCCAGCTGCCTCAGGTACCTGTCCAAGGCTAAGGCCACTTTTGGAGGGTTAAAGAGTTCCCGAGGCCGAGTCATGCTGGTCTCCAGACTCCACATGAAAACATTCTCTCCAGCTGATTGAACCCTTGAGCAGTTGGCATTTCTCTGCCGACATGCAAGTCAGGATGCCTTAGCAGCTGCTGGGGCCAGAGCGTCCGTCTCCGGTCTGGGAAGTGACTGATGCATCTACTAGACATTGGGACTTCTGGTCCTGTTACCACGGTCCATGCTGCAGCCCTCTTAGCAGGCTGTCCCCTGCTCTTCAAACCCGCGCTCCCAAGTCCCCTCCTCCTTCCAACTTGGCATAAGCCCCTAGACTGAGGCGGTCCAGCCGTGGCCAGCTCCGGTGAGCACAGTCTCGAGCCGCTGGGGCCCCAAGCAGGAGCTCCCCGAGGCCCAGATCCAGAGACTTGGAATGTTCAATGCAGGAACCAGAGGGCTGCACGGTGATAATCACATGGCCAGTCTGGGTCCGTGGACCCCAGGGTGGGGGCAGCCCCGGGCCCTTCAGCGGGTAACTGTTGAGGGCAGGTAACCCCAAGCGAGGATTAGCAGGCTCTGAACGCAGACTCCGCACTGATGGGACGGGTGAGGTACCCCGACGCGGGGACAGGTCCCAACTTTCTGGCTCTGTGCAGCCCAGGGCTCCGGGAGTCCTGGGTCCGGGGCTGGGGAGGAGGGCGCAGTCCCAGCCGGGGCCGTCAGGGGGCCGGAGCGCCTGAGCCCGCAGCACCCCCTGGCGAAGCCGTCGCGTCTCCAGGTCGCGGTTCTCGTAGAGCAGCGTGTTGGCGCAGATGAACACGAACAGGCCGACGCCCATGACCACGGGCCCAAGGAGCCGCAGCCGCTCGTGCGGGCCGTGGCCCCGGCCGGCGCCACGACCCTCGCGTCGCAGCTCGCTCAGGGGGGGCGCGCTGGCATTGGCAGCGCGCGGCCCTGGGACCCCGGCGCGGTGCGGCCAGTAGCCGGCCACAGCGATGCCCATGCCCACCAGGACCACGAGCGCCCCCAGCGCCGCGAACGCCCCCGACGGCGAGCGCAGCCGCAGCCGTGCCCGCACCCGCAGAGGCTCGGGCGGGGAGCGCGGGCGCCGGCGGCGGCCCAGGCGGCGGCCCAGGCGAGAGACACGGCCCTCGGGGCTCCTCCGCACCTCCCCGCAGTCTCCAGGGCTCCCGGATGTCATCTCGCCGTCGTCTGGGCGCTCTGCGGAGAGATGGGAGGCAAGGACTGAACCGACTGGCCTAGGGTCAGAGCTCCAGACTGGGAGGCAAGATCCGGCTGCCTCGCCCAGGCCGCTTGGAGATCCCTGGCGGCCACCCCCGGATTTTCCCGGGCCGCGAGGCGGGGAGCCGCCCCCGCTCGGGTTTTCCGCAGCGGAGCTCGGAGCCAGGGACGCGCGGCAGAAGCCGGACTTGGCCGGACCCGCGGGCGGAGAGGAGGGAGGGGGGCGCGGACTGCTACCTGGCGCATCCGCAGCTGCGGGGCTCCGGCCGCCTGCACCCTCTTCGCCAGCCCGCCGACCCCGGGTCTCGGGAGGTGTGCGGGCCCCCGGCAGTGGCGTCTCCTGGGTAAGTCCCGCCCGGGATGGACCTCACCCCCGCACGTGGGTGCACCGTAGTAACGGAGGGAGGGGGCACTCAGACCGCCCGGGTCAGCTGGGGTCGCTCGCGGGCCCCACCTCCCCCCTACTGCGCTTTACATACCGCACCGGAGGAAGGAAAGGGTGTCACTGACTCCAGCCTCTTCCTGCCCGCCCCCTCCTTAAGACCTCCTCAGCCTGCACTGAAGCTGCAGCAGGAGAGACTTGAGCTAGACTCCGGGAAGACCGTTCTGACCAAGACCAGCGGCAGACTTTGCCCAGGATGGCTTTCAACTCCGCGTAGAAGAGGCCTCCCCTCCCCCAGCGGCCGGGCAGTGGCCAGGGCAGGGGGCAGGGGGCTGCAGGTGCTGGGCTGGGGGCCCTGTGGGGAGAACTCCCCCCAGCTCTCCCGTCGGCCCGGGCAAGGCTGTTCCCAGGTTGCAGCGTTTCCAATTCGAGCTCCTCGGGATGAATCATCCCCCTTTCCCGCCGCCTGTCCTCCTTTCCGGCCTCCTCCACCCGAGGCCTCAGTGGCCCGCGTCCCGGACAGAGCAGCACCGCCCCAGCACCTCAGGCCGCCCCAGTTTGGGCCGCCTGGCTTCAGCCCTTCCTGTCCTGGGGCCTAAGAACTGAAGCCGGGCCGGGTAAGGAGTAGCTGGGCTGTGTGTGGTGTGGCCCCCACGGAAGGGTGTACCGTGTGGGAGGAAACGGGGGCCCCAGTCCAGACGCTCTGGACCGCAGGGGAGGAGGGCTAGGACCTCGCTGTCCAGTGGTGCGTCTTCACTCCCCCAGTCTGGTTTCTAAACAGCTTCAGCGCTGGAATTCGTGCCGAGGCCCCAGGAAGGAGGTCTTGCTACCCGACTCACTCCCCATCCGCACCCCCGAAGCTCAAGGCACGACACCCCATCCCTGCCTCCGACAGGAGTGCCAAAGGCCCAGGGCCTAGCACGGAGCCGCAAAGTCTACGGCGTCCAAAGCCTGATTGTCACAGATGGAAACTGCGGCCCAGAGAAGGCAGAGCCCCCTGCCGGGGTCACACGAGGAGGGGGCTCCCCCAGGACCCGACGCCGGGCCTCCGGACCCTAGCTAACGCTGTGCTCTTGCCGGCACAGCTACGGGAGCGTCCTGGGAGGAGGCAAGGGCCGTTCCCCGGTCGTCTCTGAATGTGGAGCCTTCTCCCCAGCCCGAAACCGCAGAAGTGACCACCGCGCCCCAGGCCAGAGCTGGTGCCCCAGCCCCAACTCCGGAAAGGTCGCCCGGAGCCCCCGCGCGTCCCTGCGGGGAGGGAGGCGGAGGCGTGCGGAGAGACCGGCACACACTAGAGACCCCGGCTCTGGAGGGCGTGAGTCCACGCTGGGACCGCAGGGGGGCAGAAACTTGGAGCCACAGTCGGAAGGTCTCAGGACGCGGGAAGTTGCTCTGGGCCGGGTCCCTCGCACTCTGGGGTCCCGCCTCCGCCCGCGCCCACACGCCGCCCCCGGGGAAAGGGCGGACCGGGCTCCCGCCCCCCAGGGCCTTTCCGGAGGGAGGGGCCAAACAAAAAGTTGAGGAAAGTGGAGGGCGAACCCGGGGCCCTAGTTTTGCTCACCTGGCGCCGCCGCGCCGGGACGGGTCCTGATCCGAGTCCGCGCGCCGCGGCTCGGGGCACTGCCGCGGTCTCCTCGGAGTCTTGGCCCCCTGGCCCCGCCCCCTTCCCAGGCCCCGCCCGGCGCCGCCCAAGCCCCGCCCCCAGGACTGGCTAGCACCCAGCCAGGCCCCACCGCTGGAAGCAGGCAGCAGCTCGGGTCTGAGGGTCGCAGGTAAGCGCTGTGTGCTCGCCTGGTGACTCGGAGGATACGGGGGCCCGAGTCCCCGGCTTGTGTCGTTCGCAGAGGCCTGGGAGGACCACCTCTTCCCACGTGGGTAAACTGAGACCTGGAGCTGGAGAGCCCTGCCCGGCTCCGCAGCGAGCGCGCAGACAGGATTTTCGAAGCCCGCACGCCCTCCCGCGCCTGTGTGAGCCCCTTATTCCAGGCGCCCGGGAGAGGACTCGCGGGGGCGTCTGTGAGAGCCCACTGCTGCCCCGCGCCGTCCGGGTTGCTCCCCGGAGGAGGCAGCCAGGTCCCTGCTCCGCCCGCCCCCCAGCCTTTCCCCTCCATGATCCTCACTGCCTTAACCTGGAAAATGGGCTTAATGGTGTCCGCCTCACAAGAGGCGAAAATCCAGCGTTGGGGGCGGGTACACGACACGGGGCGCAGCCCCGGTAACCCCGCGAGCGCTCAATGAATAGGAGCCCGCGGCAGGGGTGGAGGCGGCGGGGCTGAGCCGCCTCTCAGAGCTGAGTGAGTCTAACGGAGGGTCATGGGTCCCGCTGGCCTTCCCTGAGAAGATGCGCCCCATCTGGAGTGGGGAGGCGGCGTCGGCCTCCAACGCCGAGGCACTGGGGGCGCCCCCCGCCGCGGGCCTGACCGGGCCGCCCAGCTCTTGAGCCCCGCCCGCCCCCCCGAGGCAGGAATGCGGAGAGGAGCTAGGGGGTCGGCTGGCGGCCCAGTTTCCATGATGCGGGGGGCGGGCTCGGAGGAGGAGGAGGCGTGGCGCGGGCGGCAGGCCAGGCTCCGAGCCGCACCCCCCCCCCCGGGCCCCCGCAGCCCGGGCCCCTCGGGAGGAATTTCCGGCCTGGGATTGATTATAACCCGTCCCTCCCCCGGCCGTCAAGACCCCCCGGCCCGCGGGGGAGGGGGAGGGGCGGTAATGAGACCCGGCTGTGCGCCCGGGGCGGGGAGGGGGGAGCTCGAGGAAGTCGCCGGCCTGGGCCACCCCACCTCCTAGGGGTCACACAGCACGGCTAGGCCTCGAACCCAGCTCGGCCGAGGAGACCGGGGGTGGCCTCAGCGCCCCGGGAGCTCCTTGCCCAGCCCTCGGGGACAGGCATCCCCGGGAGCGACCGAGGCCATCCCTGGTGGCGGAGCCTCCTGAGGGACCGACCGTGAGGCTACCGGCCTCCCGCGGAGCGGATGGGGCCGAGCCAGGGGGGTCGTGTAGGGTCGGAGAGCCAGGCCGGCGTTGCCTTCCTGCGCCCGCGTGGGACTGAAAGCTCCTGCGGCCTGAACTCAAGAGAGAAGTCCCTCCGCTCTGCGCCTGGGCTGTGGTTCAGGCTCCACTGAGGCGGTGGCCTCCTTCCTGTCCCCTCCTGCCACCTCCTTTGCTCGAGACCCCCAGTCGACTTCCATTCCCGCACATTGACCCCTCTACGCCCCCCACCCGGCCCTCGGGCACTCCCACCTACCGCTCGCTCGACGCCCCACCCAACGTCGCCCCACCCAACGTCGTCTGCGGCCCCGTCCCCCGTGGCTGCTTTTCCTGGGGACACCACCTCGAGGCTAAAGCTCGGACAGTCTCCCGTCCTTGTCCTTGCGACTCCACCTGCCCTGGCCTTTACCACTTGCTCTGCCTGCCTGCCCCTCCTGACTTTTCTTCCTCTGGGCCGCCTCTGCCCTCCCCTGACGTTGGGGCTCCGCGGGGCTGGGCCCACAAGCCCAGCCTCACTTTCAGCGACCAGACACCTCCCCAGAAGTGTCCCTGCTCCCAGCGATCATGGCCCATTCCTACTCCTCCTGTTCCCCGTCCTGTAAAAGACCCCCCTGCCCACCAGAGGGCCATCCATACGGCGGGGCGGGGGAGGGGAGGGGGGGTGTCACCTAGGCTCCCTCCTCTCCCCCATACCCCCCAATCCTTCAAGTCCTGTGCATCCTCCTCTTTGGATCCCCAATTAGCTGCCTTCTCCCCTGGATCTAAACCACTCACTCACTCTGCTTAAAACCCTCAGTGGCTCCCCAGCGCTGTCCGAATGGAGCTTAAAATCCCTTCCCATCTGCACACACTGGCTCCTGCCCCCCCCCTCCTCCCTCCCCTGGTAGCTGAACTTGTTCTCATCCCCATACTTGTGCTCTGGCCTTGGGGCTTGGCCCCTGCCTTGACTCCTGGCAGGAACTCCCACTCCCCATCATCCCCTTGGTTCCTTCCGGTCCTTCAGACCTTACCTGCACCTTCCCTGGGCCCCCAGGGCTCGTCAGCTTCGCCCCTCCCCACCCGGCCGTTATACACCCTGCCCTGAGCTCTCCTTTGCTCTACTCACAGAACTGAAATCCGTGTTTGGGATTTGCGCCTAGATCCTGTGTCCCCTCTGAGGGGAGGACTGGGTCTGTCCTGTCCCTCCCTGAGCCCTGGCCCTCCATTGACCTGTGTCTCCCCCACCCTGGGGGTCCCTCCTAATGTGCACCCCTGGGGCTCCAGCCCAGACAGCAGGAAAGGACTCAGCTCCGAGTCTGTTTCCCCATCTGCACAAAAAGCGGGGAATGATACTTAACCTCCCGGTGCCGTTTTGAAGCTTAGGTGAGAGCACAGATGTTCCGGATCTGGCACGAAGTGGCTGCCCACCGTACAGCTGGTCCCTCCTCTGACCCCAGGGTTTGGGGCACAGAAGCCAGTATTTGGGAGTTGGAGAAACCTTCCCTGGGGTCATCTGGAGTGGTAGTGAGAAAAGGGTCCTCTTTCCCTCAACATAAGCCCACTTGATTCTCTCGAGAGCTCTGGGAAGACTGATAGGCCTAGTTTACAGAAGCGGAAAGTGCCTCAGAGAGGCCGCGCAGACACACAGCCAGGCTGCTAAGTGCTCTCCCCCTCTACAGAGGGAGCGCCATGGCAGATGTGTGGGAAGCCAGTGGCCTTAGTACAGGGACATCGGTTCCCTCCTGGATCTGCCTCTGTGTGACCTGGACTCCTTTACTTCTGCACCAGGAGGGGCCTGGGCGAGGTGTCCCCTGGGGCCAAGGTGGTCAGCATTTCCACCCCCAGCTTCTCCCGGGGGGGGGGGGCAGGGAACGGGACAAAGGGACCCTGAGGTCCCTGCCTCCTTGAGGCTCCCTGTCCTCTCTGAAAGCCACAGCGGGGAGGGAGCAGCTGTCATGTCCTGCCTGTCACAGCCCCGCCCGGGGCCACAGAAGAGCCAGGCCTGGGGAACTCATCTTCTCTCATCTCCAGTTTAGGAACAACCCCGCTGGCTGGGTCCAGGCTGCCCCAGATTTCCTGCCTGAGCCCCAGGGGTGTCTAAAACCATCCTTGTCTCTGGGCCGTCCCAGAAGCACTTAGAGGACACAGCTAAATGCCCATGGGGTCCCAGCCCAGCAAGACCACAGCATCAACTAAGAAGGAGAGGAGAGAGCATGGGGGCTCCAAGACCCAGTTTTGATGCTACTGCTCAATCACTGGGTGAGTCCGGGCACATGACAGGAATCCCTCCGTGCTCCTGCCTCTGGAATGGGTCCTTCACAGGAAGAACTGGTGGGCCGATTCAATAAGAAATGATTGGCAAGTAGAATCCAGAACCCCAGTGCCAATGCCCCATTTTATAGGGGCAGAAACCAATGCCCAGAGAGGCACGGTGATTAGACCAGGGTGACCCAGCCTGTGAATGACAGAGCTGGGCTTCAGGCCCCACAGTTACAGGTCCCCACCCCGGGCTCAGGCTTCAGGGGTTGCTGGGATGGGAACCCCAAGTCCATCCCCCACCCGTGGAAGCTCTGAGCTGGGCAATGGCTTCCCTGGTGTCTCTGTGCCACTGGCAAAGCTCCTGGGAAGAATGAGCTCCCCATCTCCATTGCTCTTCCAAGCCCAGAGAAGAGAAGGAGCACAGCCTGGGTGACACTGGGAAGGCCAAGGAGATGAGACCCTCCTGGGGGGACAGAGCAAAGCCAGCCTCCTGCCTGAGTCCCTAGGGGAGGGATGACAGTAGGAAGTTGCCATCTTGTCAAGCTCCCCCTGGCTACCAGCCCCTTCATACCTGTTACCTTCCTAAGTGTGCAAGACAACCCTGAGAGGGAGGTGACACTATCACCCCTTGTCACCCATGCAATGTTACACTACGTCCCACTAGCCCCGCAACCGTGGCCAAGTCAGTTCACCTCTTAGGGCTCTGTTTTCTCCTCTGCAAAGCAGGGACAATGGCAGCAGGTGGGCAAAGGCCTCTAATGAGGAGGGGGCTCCGCAGGAAACACGGTGGCACTGGAGCTTTTCTGTTCTTCGACTGGCTCTTGTCCATCAGTTTCCTCTCCTATATAATGTGAAAATGAGGCTAGTATCCCTTCAGCCACCTGCTCTGGGGACCAGAGAGGAGCCAGCCCTGGGCCCCATCCAGATGAGTTAGGGGGTGAAGTGAACAGAGCATCCACCAAAAGCTGAGGAAGTGACAGCCGACTCCATGTGGGGGGCAGGCAGCAGGGAGGACTTCATGGAGGAGGGGGCCTTCCTGCTGGGTCTCAGCGTCAGCAGAGTTACCCAGGCTACAGAGGGGGAGGATATTCCAGGCAGCAGGAATAGCAGGTGGACAGCCTGGAAGCATGGGCGGGGGGCAGGTGCTGGAGAGGGAGCGGGGAATGGGATGAAGGGCTCAGGGCCTGATCACAGGCCTCCTCAAACACCAGGCTTGGGGTGTAGGGCTCAGCCCTCTGGCACTGGGAGCCATGGGAGGTTTTAAAGCAGGGGAGTAGCCTGATCCATATGTACCTGGGGAAGGACTTCACAAACTGTGAGCGTGGCACCTGTAATAGTTTCTTGAGCACAGAGAGAAGGTGCGGGACACGGAGCCCCAGGCCCA